TGACATCACGAAAATGCGTGAGGTCTTTTAGTGTAAATAAAGGCATGGGAGAAAAACCAAATTACTCTTGCAAAAGATAATTGCATGTTAGCAAAAAGTACTTTACATTAGGAAAGCTAATGTATTGTTGAAAAGTTAAGTACATATTTGAGAAAGCAATTATATATCTGGACCAACTTTGCACGTTACGGAAGCTAATTGCATTTGGAGAGGCTAACTAGGGGTGTGTTTGGATTGGCGGTGGAGAAATACTTTTTTTTCAATATGACTTTTCCAAAAGTCAGATTGAGTAAAAGTCAGATTGGGTAATGTGATTTATATTTGGATTAGGTTTTAGAAAAAGTCAGTTTGAGAACTGAAAATTTTGTTTTGATGATATGTAAAAGTAAGTTTGAATGTAAAATGACTTAAAAGGATATGAATTCTATTAAATAGCACATATCTAATATTAGATATTTAATTATTAAAGTGAAGAAGTAAGGAAAAAAAAATTATTAAAAGTAAAAGAAATTTAATTTATTATTATAAAGAAATTATATATATAATGTGACTATTTGTCATAAATAAAGTAATGAAAATAAAATTATTAAAAATAAGGAAATTTAATTTATTGTTATAAAGAAATTATATATATAATGTGACCATTTTAAAAGAAGTATTGAAAAAAATTTATTAAAAATAAAAAAATTAAGTTATTACTAGAAGGAAATTGAAAAATAATAAAAACTTAATTAAATATATGTAATGGATAAATATGTAAATTAGAGGTCATACATACGTAGCATTTTTAAACTAAATACATCAAATAACTAATTGGATGCCATGCTCAATACAATTTGGTCTCTGATTGTGTCATGCACATGATTCATTTGTCTTGATCTAGGTAAATTTGAAGAGGATGTCTCACCAGCTTCATCATGATTGTCTTCGTCAATTGTACCTTCAGATTGAGCTTCTATGAAATCTCTATCAGTTTCAGAATTTCTTCGGAGGAAATTATGTATAGCATTGTAGCACAAACTACTTGGACTTGAGTTTTATACTTGTAACTTGGCATCTTATCTAGGGGTGTTCAAGAAGGATTCGTCCCGGTCTTATTGGACGGGACGGATCCGTCCCGAAATTTTTCGGGACGGGACAAAAAATGGACCGGGACGGGACGAGACACAGGACGGGGTCGTCCCGTCCCGGTCCTTTTTTTTTATTTTTTTATCCCATTTATATAATATTATTTTTTTCATATTTTTTTAAGATTTGAGACTATTGTATGGAACTATGGATATATTTATTTAGAGTTTTTATATTTGTTAATGATTTGTGATTATTGATGATTAGAATTTTTAGCAAGTTTTTATTGTGTTAAAAGCTTTTATTTAGAGTTTTTAATGATTATTATATGTAATATTTTGAGTTTTTGTTTAAGAGTGCCCAAACAAATAAAAAAGAAAATAAAAAGATGTTTTTATAAGGTTTAAGCCCAAAAAAACATAATTAAAAAAATCAGATTTTATTTAAAAAAATTAATAAAAATTAAAAAATTAAAAAAAAAAAAAAAAAAAAAAAAGAGGTTCGGGACGTCCCGGTCTCGCCCCGAATCCATCCCGTTCCGACCGGGACCGGGACAACCCCGGGACGGGCCGGGACACGGGACAGATTTTCTGTCCCGTTACTGTTCATCGGGACGAACCGGGACGAGCCTGTCCCGGTCCCGATCCGTCCCATGAACAGCCCTAATCTTATCTAAGATGCGAAACTTATTCTTCCACACCCCAAAAGTCCTTTCTATAGTGCACCTCAAACTTGAATGGTAGTAATTGAAGATTTCGTTATAATTTTCAAACCCCGGTTGTCGTCTAAAGTCTGGAAGGTGATAGCGCTCACATCTGTACGGACCAAGATATCTTGGTGGAGTTGGATAGCCAGCATCGACCAAATAATACTTCCCTAATAAATCATGAAATTATGTTGACATTGTGAAATTAATGAAAATATCAAATGAATTCGATATAATTAAAATTGAAGCTACTGAAAATATACCTGGAGGTGGATGAGGGAAATCCAAGGCTGGAGTTGAGACAGTAGTGTTAAACACACGAGCATCATGTGCAGTACCTTCCCATCCCGCTAATACAAAAGTGAAGCACATGTCCTAGTCACATACAGCCATGACATTCTGTGTCGGATATCCCTTTCTCCCGATATATTTGTCTTGCTTCGAAAGACTCACCACACATCGTACATGAGTGCCATCAATTGCTCCTATTGCATCATTGAAATATGGCGAATATCGTTTATCGTTTTTTATTTTTGGGTGAGTTACAGAAAACGTAGGATCGAGTGGTTTGATATATTCCCTGGATAGACTAAGGCAAGCCTGTAATACTCTATGAAAATGCTTGCTTACAGTTTCTCTTGAATGTTGAAACCTTTCTTGAATCATCTTTTACATTGTCCATGACCAACCGTGTTCAAAAACATACCAACAATTTCTTCCGCTCCCAGATACTTAGAATTTTTTAAACCATGTTCGACCAGTTTAGAGCATAATCGCATGAACATTTCTTTTTCCATTCGAAACATGTCATAACACCGAATTTCATGATCTCGCAAAATTTCTTGCACCCATAAATTACCTATTTGCTGACTAGTTCTTCGTGGCTCTTTGCACACATAAGGCATCACATATTGACTCACCAATACAGCTACCTCTTCATATTGTGTTATCTCTTCATCTAAAAGGGAAATCAATTGAGAATGTTCATCTTCCTCCGACTCCTCTTCAGACTGTTCATCTTCCTCCATCCACTTAAACGTAAATTGATTGTTCCAATTTGCCATAGATAATGTCACCTGTGAGTGTGGTTAAATTCAACTGTAAGAATTTTTTTAAACGACAAATAAATATTTTTAGGTATGTGCAAATAAATATTTCTTTCTGTTAAACATGCAAAGACATAAAAATTAGTCTAAAAACATTCATAAGCTGCAATTACCATTATAAATAACACATGTAACTTAAAAACATTCAAAACATTCATAGTCAGTTAACAAGTTACATAATTTCATAGTTCCACAAACATTAACTTAAAAACATATAATAACAACTCTGGTCCGAGTTAGACAAAATAAAATCATAACATGCGTCCTAAAATATAGTTCAAGCAGGTGGGGGTTTCAGCCATGATGGTGGATTGTATGCCATATCCTGTAGCCATGCAACCAAGTATTCTGGCTGTCCTTTTAGTGAAACAACCATTTCCCAAACACTCTTGTGCAACAGAAGTCTTAAGCATCGGTTCCGGAAATCAGAGTCACTTGTAATTTCCTCAAGGCAGAGCACTTCGGCCGTAACCTCAGAAATTGATACCTCTTTTATTTTCTTAAGAGTTGCAGCTCTATCCTTAGATGCAGTAGCTATTTCACTAACTGAATCCGCTATTTGTCTTGAGGCTGGAAGTTTTTGCTTTGTTTTCCTGCTAGACCCTTCACCTCTCTTCCTCTTCCCATGGCTTCCTGAACCACTAGGTGCAGTATTTGCTGTTAAGTTTACGCCTGCCATCTCATCCGTAACTCCTACACTAGCACCTCCAAGATCTTCTTCGCTATCCCCCTATCCTTCAAGGAGATCTGTATCAACTCTATACACATTCTCTTCATCATCCTCTTGTGTCTGAGGTTGGGTTAAAGACGGTGCCAACATATCCTCTCCAGATGCTATCACACCCTTGAATATCGTGTTTAATTCATGAGCAAACTTTAACCCCTGGTACCTAAACTTTTCATACTGGGGATTCTCCTGCAAGAATACAATCAACAAAAATAAAAAGCCTATAACAAGTAATAACACAGTTCATAACTCAAGATCAACAATTATATACCAGTTTTTTCTTCTCCCACCACTCATTTGTTGCCACCACTGTATTGTTTATAGGGTCCCAACCTACACCAGTTTCTTTGTTCAAATCAACCCATGTCCTCCAATCCTTCCTCAAGCTATCAAGCCTATTTTTCAATTGCTTCCTCTCATATGATTTTCCTGTTTTTGCATTGAATGCAGAATGAATGTTGTTCCACCCAGTCTTTGAAAATGATGTTCCTTGACGATTTTTCCGGTAGATTTGCTCCATGCATTCTTTAAGTAACACCTCTGTGGTGCTTGTATCCCATGTTGCCTTACCTTTATCTTTGTTCATAATTCTATTGAAAAATGTCAATCAAGAATGCAAAAGGGAGTTACAGTGAACCAGAGCACTTTTCTTCCAACAATGGAGAAATATTATACAAATTCAACAATCTTAAATTAGAGGCACTTTACAAACAACTTCCCAAGAGGCAGACACCTAAAAAATATCAAATATTTATGTTTCAAAATTCTTTTTATGTTTCTCTTGTAAATAAATATGAGAGGAAATATCTAATATATATAATATTTATGAATTATAACCTCAGAATCATATATATTTAGGTTTGTAAAACATACTCATCAACAATAAGCGCCACATTAATTGAAACACTGATCTTCACATTTTCAAACTAAAAAAACGCCAACTTTTCGGAGCTTGTCACAAATAATTAACAGGAAAGGGGTACTCAGAACCACAAATCATCATCAGAAGAATCAAAGACCAGCGGTTCTGCCTCCTACGATACTACCAGGTCATACTACCATCAGTTCTTCCTACTACACTACTACCATTCGACAGCCAGGCCACATTAATTGAAAGAGCATCAGATTAAGAGCAAGAACATCAGATCAACACTTCTAAAATCAATAAGGCTATGGGTCCGAATTATCTACCAATGGCAGCCAACAACATGAATCGAAGACCAGCAGATCTAGGACCAAAACACGTATCTCTTACTAGCTGAACAAACGAGACTTGTGGATTAGGAGCAGACACGGTTGGCGGCGGTGAAAACGGACGGACTGCCTGCAACCGAACAGAGGAAGAAACGAAAAACCCAACAGTATTTGGAGGATCTGAACGAACGGCCATAGTCCAAAAGAACCAGAACAGAGGAGACGGTGGAACATGGCGGAGACGGCGGCGGTGACAACGGACGGCGACCCTAGAATGCAACCGAACAGAGGGAGAAGAGCGACAACCAAACGATATTTGGAAGATCTGAACGAACGGCCACAATCCACCCACTCCCACACAAGAACCGAACTGATGACACGGCAGGAGACAGCGGCGACAATGGACGGCGACGCTGGCTTCAACCGAGTAGAGGAAGAGGAAGAACAACCGAACGAACTGGAAGAACTGACCGAACAACCGAACGACCCACTCCCACACAAGAACCGAACTGATGAGACAGCGGAGACACGGCAGGAGACGGCGGGCGCACGGCGGGGATATGGCAGAAGACGACGTCGTGAGCGAGGCTCCCTTTTTCAGCTTCAGATCGCGTTTCAAAATGAGAGTGCCGAGTGCGTGTGTGGTTTTTTCCTTTTAGCTAATATAACTCAGACAAAAACATGCAGAGGGTCAGGTAGGTAAAAATATTTAACATGCTACCAATGGTTTCTCAAACGCATCGGCCTCCAAAAAAAAGCACCACAAATCAACTTCTCCCATAAGTCCATCTGAGCCTCCAGAAGTCAAATTAGCCCACTGTGAATCCAAACAGGTCAAAAACGCAGCCACATCAGAAGCCCGATGGAGACGCATGTTTGGGCCCCCAAACGTGATGCCAAACGGGCCCTATATATTGGTTTAGAGAAGGTTTTTTTTTTTACTAGTGTTTAAAGAAGGTAATTGCATATTCGGGGAGGGTAATGACATATTATGGAAGCTAATTGTATCTTTTAAAAGGTTTTTGTATTAGTTTAAAGAAAGTAATTACATATTTGAGGATGCTACTTACGCATTATAGGATCCAATTACATCTTCAGAAAGATAATTGCATATTGGTTCGTAATACATATTTGGGAAGGTAAATGCATATTCTACGAGAGCACATACACATCATGAAAGCTAAATACATATTGCTATAGGGAAGGTAATTCATATATGGGGAAGCCACTTGCACATTACTAAAGTTAACTGCATCTTATGAAAGCTAATTGCTTATTAGTTCAGAGACTTATGACTAATTTTTTCTTTTATTGTCACTTTAGTCCAAACATATCATAATTAAATGTCAAGCAACATTACTTAAAACATTTTAAAAATCAATAAATCTCATTAAATAATTCATACTTAATAAAGATTACTTCTACAACAAAGATGACAACGAATTTTTTCCTGCCAACAGATATCAACGAATCATTATCATTATTTTCTCTAAAATATCCTATACTATAAAATCTCTCCAAAACTAACTTATAATTTGAAATAGAAAAAATGTATACTTTTTTATCAAAAGAAAAAGAAAAAAAATGTATACTTGCTCTGGGCTATGGCGATCCAAACAAATTTATTGTCAAATTAAACATGTATGAGATTTCTATAGGAGAAATATATCAGTTGGCATTAGTAATTGTGAACAAGCTCTGTGAACAACAAAGGTTCTTCAAAGGAATGCTGAAAGGACAGTCAAAGTTCAGGTATACTTGTAAAAAACCTCATATGAAGATAAAGTGCAAAGACGATAAAAATTGTTCTTGTTCTACTAAGAGAAAATCTCATTATCGTCAATTTAGATATCCAAAAGATTCTTATTCCAGGAGAAGACCCATAAAGCCTTTCCTGAGATACTTCAAAAGGGGCGGGCCTTATTTAAAGAAATCTAACATGTGCTATTTATGCAAGAAAAAAGGACATTTTGTAAAAAATTGTCCTAACAAGACAAAAAAGGATGTGAAGATGCTAGAACACTTGCAGACTATTTTAATGATCAATGAAGACGAAGATATTGAATATGTCATCGAAGAACAAGATGCTTAGGATGAAGAAACACAATATGTTCTTCCTTTTTCTGAAGATGAAGAAACTGATTTTGAATCTTTATCCCAAGAAGATGATGATCCTCAAGAGTATTTATATTCCCTTGAACAATCCCTGTATCCATCTTTCCTTGGTTCTCTGGCTTCTCAGCTAGACCACAACAAAGTTACTCCCAAGCCAAATGTCAAAATCCATATCCTCCCAGGAAGACATGAAAAGCCAATTCCTGTTATTACTTTCATAGATACTAGAGCATGCAAAACCATCATGAATCCTGATATCCTTCCATCTGAAGCATGGATCTCTTGTGATCAATCCTTCCTTACTGCTAATTCAAAAACATTCAAGATTGAATAGATTACTCGAACGAAGATTGGTATTCAATTCTTTCCAGGATGTGTTCTATGGATGAAAGTTCTTGGTAGTGATCTCCTTGGGAAAGATATCCTTATTGGGTTTGATGCCTATTATCATATTAGGAATCTTCAAGTACTGCTTAAAGGAATTAGATATAAAAATTTCTTTAGTGCATATACTGAAATTCCTAATCTCTTTGAAATCCAACAAGCACCACCAGGATATGAAAGTATCAGAGATCATCTCCTTAAGTTTTGTGCTGATAGTCATCAGCAGTTCTCTCATCCATTTCCATTATGGAAGAATCAAGAGTTTTTCATAAAACTCCCCTTCAAGAAAAATGAAATATCAATTCACAAAAGCTTCTTATCTAGGAATGAATCCAAAAGTTCTCAAGCTTACTAAAGAAGAATGCTTTGCCTTCTCAAACAAGGCCTTATTGAACCAATAAAATTTAATTGGGCTTGCCAAGCATTCTACGTTGAAAAAAGATTAGAAATCAAAAGAGGAAAGAAAAGGTTAGTCATCGACTATAAGCCTCTTAATATTTTCCTTCAAGATGACAAATTCCTTTACCAAAGCCCAGTTCACTTACAGTCCATCTTAGAGATGCAAAAATCTTTTCCAAGTTTGATCTTAAAGCAGGATTTTGGCAATTGGATATCCACCCAGAAGATCGACCCAAAACTGCTTTTTGTATTCCAAATGCCCAGTACTAATGGATTGTTATGCCATTTGGGCTCAAAGTCGCCCCATCGCTGTTCCAAAAGGCCATGACTAGAATCTTTGAACATATGCTTGATAACCTCCTCATTTACATTGATGACATTTTACTTTTCTTAAAAGACGAAGATTCTCATAAACTTTTATTGACCCAATTTGGAAAAATAATTGAAAAATATCGGATTATGTTGTTGGCAAAGAAAGGAAAAATAGGTGTCAAAAACATAGAATTTCTTGGAATGAATTTTGAAAATTGTGAGTATCATCCAAGACCACATATTACAGAAGAATTGCTCAAATTCCCAGACGATAATCTGACAGCAAAGCAAATCCAACAATTTCTGGGGATTATTAATCATCTCAGGGATTTTATCCCTCATGTGTCTAATCATACCAGCCAGCCATCCAAACTTCTAAAAAAGAATCCTCCCGCGTGGGGGACAGAGCAAACCTCAGCTGTTAAGACCCTCAAAAGAATTGCACAGCAACCAACTCCTTTAAAGATCCCTAACAAAGGACTGCGAATCCTCCAGACTGATGCCAGTGATGACTTTTGGGGAGCTGTCTTAGTTGAAGAAATAGATGGAAAGAGATTCTACTGTGGACATGCAAGTGGACAATTCAAGGAGTCAGAAAAGCATTATCATGCTACCTACAAGGAGATCCTTGCAGCCAAAAGAGGAATCAAGAAGTTCAATTTTCATCTCAGTCCTTATCAATTCAGAATAGAAATGGACAATACGTCTTTTCCCAGAATGCTTAATCCCAAGGGAAAGATTTTACCAGACAGTCAGTTACTCTGATAGAAAGACTAGTTCTCTCGCTATAAATTTACCGTCTATCATCTTAGAGGCCATCAGAACATCATAGCAAATTTCCTCACAAGACCTCAGAAAGTTTCCCAGCCTCGAAAACTCTTGTCACTCTCCAAACACCCACCCCTTTTCATCCTAACCATATCTGAATCAAAAATGCGTCACAGAATGAGAGCCACTATTTTTCCTCCTGAATCCCGTCCTAAATCTCCAGCAGATATCCAAAACCTTGCCAAAAGCACTATGTTCTACTGGCTCCATCATGTTCTTGTAGATACTGGAATTCACCCTTACCCTCAGCACTTTGATGTCGACGCTCCATACCTCATTGTTCCCCTCATCAAGGGACCCATACCAGAGGAACTTTTATGGTACATCTAGTCTGTCTCAGCCAATTATACTTGTGCCATAGCCTTCTCAACTGTAGTTGTACATGATCACCTGAATGACTTCAGAAATGAAAATTCTCCTCTTATCACACTTTTTGATATGCTTGCTCCTCTTCCTTGCTGGAGAGGAAAACTTTAGAAAATTCTCAAGGAACATAATATCTGGAACTTACCATCTCCCAAACAGAAGAGATTTTTCTGTTTGTTTACCTTTTTCAGGAATTATGGTATAAGTGCTAACCAAAGGCTTTACACAGACAACCGTTTGATTCTCCAAGTCACCACCCCCTCATGGCCTAGAAATGAAGGATTGCTAATGGAGAAAATTGGGAAAATATTAACTGCACTTAATCAGCCTGACACGGGAGAAGACACTTCATGTCTTTCTCTTGGACCTTTTCCTCCAAACTCACCGTCAGCCATCAGCACAACACTTGAAGAATTCCAGAGAGATTTCATCATGAGTGCTGTCAGACCTCCACCTAATAGGTCACAAGTCCCTCTACCGACAGAAGCCTCCTAAGACCCTTATGACGGAGACTCACAGGTTCAACTCACTCAACCTGAAGGACTCCATCTCCCTCAGCCAAGTTTTCAGCCACAACTCACATTCCTTGCAAGAGAATCCCAGGATCCTAACTAAGATGGCCTTGATCCAGAACTCGAAGACTCCTACTGTACAAGGAGACACTATGACTCAGATGATCTTGACCCAGAAGGCATTATGAACCTATCCCCTAGCCATGAACCTATCTACAAAGACTAGGGAACACCATCATCAGAAAATCTCCTTTTGAGATGCTCTGAAGATAAGGAGGACCCGCCAGATTCCTACTTTATGTTGCCATCTACTTTTACTTTATTAAAGTAGTTCGTGCTGTAATCTATTTCGTTTTCTTGTAATCAGTAAAGTATTTATCTTTATTAAAGTAGTTGACAAATGTGTCATTATTAGGATAGCCAGTCATCGTGAGAGATGTGTCATTACTAGAATAACAAGTCATCATGAGCCCCACCTGTCATAATTAAAGAAATGTTTTTTGCCAAAAGAAATAATCCGGAAACTACAAATATGGCGTTGAAGCTCACAGCATGTTACTCACTTCGTCTCTTCTGCACTCAAAATTCTTGAGAAGTACTTCAATTTATGCTTACTTTCTCCTGCTAATGCATTATCATTAGCTGCCCTTGGAATTTTAGATTCAGATTTGAGACCTCATTTATCAAATTTTCTTCTTCATTCCTTTACAAAATCAATCAATGGCTTCCCCACACACCGACGTTGTGTGCGTCACCGGAGCCAATGGCTTCATTGGCTCATGGTTGGTCAAAACGCTCCTGCAAAACCGTCGCTATGCCTCCATACATGCTTCCATATTCCCCAAATCCGACGCCTCTCACCTCTTCGGACTCCACCCTGACGCCAAATCCCGAATTAAAATCTTCGAGGTCGATGTGCTCGACGCCGCCGCCGTCGCCCGTGCCGTGGACGGTTGCTCCGGTGTGTTCCATGTGGCATCCCCTTGTACCCTTGAAGACCCCGTCGACCCACAGAAGGAACTCGTGCTTCCGGCGGTTCAGGGCACTCTGAACGTTCTAGAAGCAGCTAAGAAGTGCAAGGTGATGCGTGTCGTCCTCACGTCATCTATTTCCGCCATGGTCCCGAACCCTAATTGGCCTCCAAACAAGCCCTTCGATGAGTCCTCTTGGACCGACCTTGATTACTGCAAATCGCGGGCCAAATGGTACCCGGTGTCGAAGACGCTGGCGGAAAGAGGGGCATGGGATTACGCGGAGAAGAATGGCATTAACATGGTGGCGATTCATCCTGCGACGTGTTTAGGTCCTCTGCTTCAGAATTCGCTGAATGCTAGCAGTGCCGTGCTTCAACAGTTGCTTGAGGGATCAAAGGATACGCAAGAGTATCACTGGCTTGGAGCTGTTCATGTGAAGGATGTGGCCAAAGCGCATGTAATGCTGTTTGAAAACCCAAATGCTTCTGGTAGATATCTCTGCACCAATGGCATCTATCAGTTTTCTGATTTTGCCAACAAAGTGTCCAAGCTATATCCTGATTTCCCTGTTCACAGGTTTGCATTTTTTTCTTCCTCTTTTTCTGTTGTCATTCCTGTTTGGTTTTATTATCAACTGCTACAGTGTGAGGATGAAGTTTGACCTTGGTTTAAGAAGTGGGTGATCCACTTTGATGATTTTTTTTTAAAATTATTATGGTTGTTGACTTGGAGGATCACAGCTACTGCTGACTGATAACAAACATGACTTAAAATAAGCAGTGCTTTCTATTATGGGTTACAGGTGGGCTGGCATGAGTTTCACACTTTTGTGGTTTGGTTAGACTCCATCTGTCATAAAGAGATACTTGTATATTCGACCATCTATTACTTATTTAGACTATATCACACAATATTATGTAATTATTATTCAAATATTAAGATTTGTAATTTCAGGTAATTGGATGAATCTAGGGTGTGAATAGGGACTCAAATATCATTCAAAAAATATAGGGACTCGAATAACACTTTTAGTCCTAGAACAACGTTGTCTTGTGAAACCTTGGATTAAATTATGGTATACTTTTTGTTTTAACTTAAGATTTGAGAAATTTTGTTAGTTTTTCCTTTATCTTTCCATTTCTTTCCTTTCAACCTACTCCCTACCAATTTTCTTTTACACTGTTGTGAAAAATTCTGGTTTGGCCTACCACGTTTGGACTTTGGATTGGAGCCATGTAGTTTTCTTTCCATTCTGCAATGATTTCTCTTTTGTTTTGCCCCACTTTTTTATTTACTTATTGTGCTTCTCTCCACTTAGATAAGAACAACTTTTCCTTTGATTTTGGTCAGAAGTTCTCTCCCACTCTCTTCACTGATTGAGGTTGTAGGTGGTTCTCGAAATTTCTCATTTTTAGCTCATGTGGCTTGGAGCACATTATTGGTCTGCAGATAGATATTGATAATAAATTATACTTATGTTTCCTGAGGCTTATACCATATGTTTGTAATAATAGTTTGATTGCCTTCTGTATTATTTGCTTCTTATTACTAACTATGCTTTTTTGTTGCTATGTTTGATTTAATAATTGGCTTCCCCCATATTAGGGGACAATGTAGAGGGATAGATCAAATGAGAACATTTATAGTGTTAGGAGGAGACTAGGTGGTAGGTTACTGACATAACAATATCACTATTGACCATGGACCTATGACTTTTCCATTAAAAATGGAGATCTATACATGCTTGTGTGGAAGAGATACAGGTTCAACGCCCGATGGAGTAGTTAGCTGAATATGACGGAAAGTTATGGTATGGGTTGGAGAAGGGGAATACAGTACTCTTTTGCAGACTTTAATTGTTGTGAAAATTATGACGAAAGAAATATATTTTCTAATATTTACATAGAAGTCCTTCAGAAATTTCAGATGGGGCCATGGAAAGGGAAAAATTAGTCTCAGTTAAATTTGCCTTGTTATAGCAGTGTTACCTTAAAGTTATAGCTTAATGAAAGTTTCCGTCACATTATAGAAACTTCATTAGTATGCTCGGGAAAGTTACAACGAAGTTGTAAGAATGCTACTTTACTATTTAGGCGATTAACCATCATGCTTTGAGCAAGTTACTCCCAAGTGGCATTCATATTACCACCATTTTATGGGCAAGTTACCAACCTGTTTCGAGAAGTCACCACAAGATTATGGGAAAATAATCATCCAGGTTTAGGTAATTAGTCCCTATGTTATGAGCAAGTTATCCTCAACTGATAATTGTTACTGCCATGATTTGGGAAAGTTACATCCCAGTTATAGCCAGGTTACCTTCAACTTATGGGAAATTGCCGACATTTTGAAGGAAAGTAGTCGTTAAGTTTGTGCAAGTTCACACAAGATTAAAGGAAACAGGAAATGTGCCACGAAAAGCAAAGTTATCTGGTATGTTATCTCTAGCTTTTAGGAGTGTAACCCCTTCTTTACATGGATGTAGTTTGGAGAATGTACAACTAGGTATTGGAAAATTTACCATCAGTTTTGAAGTTTATTTACCTCCATTTTTTTAGTAGCATTGCTATATCTTTTTTGTAGTGGTACTATAGTCCTGTTACTTGCTCAAACTGTGGTGATTCATTGTCTTCTCCTATATGGTTGCTTTTAATAATCTTGAAGTAGCATCCTTAAGTATGTTATTTTTAAGAGACCTCTTTGTAAATATTAGAATATTTATGTCCTTCATGATAATTTTCCTCAATTATTTTGCACTTTTGGGAAGAAAAAATAAATAAAACCTCCACATGAAAAGAAAGTGTATAAATTACTCGGAGACCTTGAATTTTGTGTTCTCATGCTATGTCTTATATCCATGTTCTCTTTTGTGGTCATACTCAATGAGGTAAAAGAAATTCAATTCAGGACTAGGAAAGGCATGGGGTTTGGTAACTTGATTAATAATTTTGAAAAAATTGTTCACAAGTCAGCTAACACTGCATGTTAGGTGAAATTAGGGTAAGAAATTGGCGAGAAGGAAGAAGAGTAATGGGACTCAGTTATATCTTGACCGTAGCTCTTTGTTAGTTAGTTATTCAAAATACCTGAATTCAAATTTTTGATTTAAAACAATTAAATAATGATTGCCTACTTAAATGACATGTTTAAATTGAATAGATCATCGGGATATCAGTTATTATTATCTATTGTGAGCAATCATTAACTTGATAACTTTGTGTTCGAAATTCTTTCCCCCTTTAAGAGGTGATGGTTCCCTCTCCCCCTTTTTTCTCTTCCTTTTTTTGGGTGAAATTTGTTTTCATCTTTTTTCTTTATTGGATAAATGGACAATGATTGGCTTCGAGCAAAGTTCCTCCCAAGAACTGATTTATTATAAAATGACTTATGTTCTTTGTTAAGTATGTGGGTATAAGATTAGTTGGCATTGTATGTCAAGTGGGAAACAGCACAACCTGGAATCCTTTATTTAACCAAGATAAATCAATCAAATTGGGACTCATCATTATGTGCATCGTACATGATTGAATTTTTTGTTCTTTTTGTTCCCTTTTTCTTGGGTGAGAAAGTATACGGTATTTGATATTACTAATTAATCTTGATTTAAACACAATGTCTGACCCCAAATAGGAGTTATCTCTACTAGTGCAATTTTTTTTATCCTCAATACTCAAACTCTATCTTACTTCAAGGGTATATATTATCGGGTTTCTTTTACTCGATCTAACTATATTATTATTATTGGTAGATAACATTCTGATAAATTGTCAAGATGTTTTTTTTCCCCCCTCCTTTAAATCACTCGGCATCTGGGATTACTGACTAATCCAAATTTAAGTTATATTGGGCATTAAATGAAGAGAATCTCGCCTAATGTAACTTCATTTTTTTTTTGGGCATGCATAAGTCTCAGATTTGAGGCATTGCTTAAAAAAGGCATCAGATTTTTTTTCCACTTGATCCACCTGACATTGGTATATGAGATATACATCATGAACACAAAATTCTAGAGCAATGAAAATATTGAAAGAAAAGAGGACACATGTGAGTCGCATTCTCACCACTTAATCAGTGAATTCCCTTCCTGAATGTGGATTTCAGATCAATTGTCTGCCTCTTGAACATTGTGTGAATTTGTTTGGGAGGATTCGAATCTTAAATTGTCATCATGTGGGATGGTTCTCTCTCTAACTGATCATAACCACATGCAGGTTCCCTCCAGAAACTCAACCTGGGTTGGTAGCATGTGAAGATGCTGCGAAGAGGCTAATAGACTTGGGATTGGTGTTTACTCCACTTGAAGATGCTGTACGAGAAGCAGTGGACAGCCTCATATCTAGAGGCTTCCTTAAGCTTAGTAGATAAGTTAAAAATGTTAAATAAAACTAATTTTATTTTATGAATAAAAAATGACACTCTTGTCCATGATTCTTAAGTTTGGAAGTATTGGGGAAAATTTTTTTTTTACATATTTGTATAGTGTTATTTTTTTTTTCTATATCACGAGTATATGATAATGACTGCAAGTGCATGATAATCATCGTACAAAAATTATGAGATAAAGAAAATCATTTTCCATCCTTATAACCAAAAAGGACCTAGCTTTCTTTCGTGTCTTGTGCATTAATACCATCAAAAGTTTGACAGGTTATTTCCAGGGAAAATGACAGATGGGGACCTATAAAAACTTGATAATATCACAGACCGACTTTGTTTTGGAGTTATTGTTGATTTTTTTCGTTACTTCGTTCGGACTTAAATATAAGAACTTCTTAATGAATTTGTTTTTATTTCAAACGTAAAATTTCAATTTATTTTTTTAAAAAGAAATTTATAATTTTGTTTACACTCTTTGTTAATACTGCATATTGAAAAAATTGTTAAGGGAGTAAGTTTCAATGTAAATAACTCAAGGAGGCATTTTAAGAAGATCAAATACACTTTTTTTTTCCAAATAAATAAGTAAATTAATTTTTACTCTATGTAAATTAATAGTCTAAGTTGAGTACCATTTTAACTTTTTCAATGTTATTCGAATATTGCAAAGAATCGGTGACAACTTTGAAAAGCACATATGATTAACTTTTGGCCTTGTAAATTTCAAGGTCATTGTATGGTATTATTACTCCTGAGGATTCGTATCTATCATTTTTCATTATTTCAATCAAAAGGGAAGGCAAATCAATCTCAAATATTTGTGTATATAATTTACTTTATAATCTAAGCATCATTATTGTATTTATTTAATTTTTTTGTTGAAATGGTGGAAGTAATTATGATTGATGAATGTAATTATACCATGCTTACCTAGGAAATAAAATCACCTTCTTTCATTATACATCCTTTTTGAAAGTAGCATTCATTTTCATTATTCTACATATCTGTATGCCACTTTCAACATTGTGATACTTGTCATGGGTCTCCCAATGACCCTTGTCTTTAGGAAAGATTCTCTCTTCTCTCCTTCCCATCATTTTCCTCTTTCTCCTCCTCTTTTCCCAACCACAACATTAACATTAGAATAGTTTAAATTTGATTTTTTTTTTACAAAATGTCTTTGTATTTTTTAATTATAATTTGAAACTATTCACACACAAAAAAGTTAGCAATTTGTGTCTGGATGTTTATTCTTTTTTTTCCCCCAAAGAAAACCATTTTGCATATATCTATATTTTTTAATTTTTTAATTTGGTATCTATATAACGGTACTAATTAAGCAAAATTAAAGGATTTAATCATGAGAAAAAGCCTACAGATATCAAATTAAAAATTTGAAAAAAAGAGTATGAGTAATTGCAAAGTAGTTTTTTTCCTATAAAGAAATGTTTTAAGAATAATTTATAAAGATTTAATCTTAATCATTGAAATGTTGATATAATGATAAGAAAAAAGGGAGAGGATGGGAAGGCCGCAGAAGAAAATCTTCTCCTTATCACTCTGATTTTTTCCCCTTTCGTTTTATTAAATGCGTATCTTCAAGGTTTATGCGAATCTTATCTTTTTTTCTTGGGTGGTCTCAAAATTACTCTTCCCTATAAGCTTGCACATTCAATTATTTTCCTATAACAAGTTGCAATAGAAATAAATCAAATGCTTGCTAGAAAAATAATGTGAAATAATTATAAGTCCAATTGGAACTGGTAAAGGGGTTTTTTTTAACATAATTATTTGATTTTGATATTATCAAATAATCAAATAATTATAATTTAGAATATTCATATTAATTCAAGGACTAAAGATACACTTTAAAAACTTGTGGAATTAAACTACAAGTATACTTTATTATTTGAAAAATTTAGCTATTTTACTTTTGTTGCTGTTAAAAACTATAGTATTAAAATTCTACCTAAATTGGTAGATTAGACTAGTAAACTAGTGAACTAGTCTGTTCATGGTGCTAATAAAACACTTTGAAAAGGTTAGCCCGGTTAGACTTTATATTTTTTTTTTCCATTTAAGTAAGCAAGAAACAACATCATTTTGAGTTAAAAAGAAAAAAAGAAAAAACAACTCATCATATTTGTAACTCTTGAATTATACTACTTCCAAGTTCCAATCTTTAATATAATATCTAATTTGTAATGCAAATTACATAATAATTTTATATTAAGGACTCAGAGGTAGTATGTGATTTATACATAATGTTCTATCCATTTGTGGATTAGTGTCTTTTTTTATTGAATATTATTCTTTTCAACTTATACATATGAATATTTTGGCATATTTTAATCAAATTATATTATATTAGTTATGATTAAGTTCATCTCTCTTCAACCACAGTAAAAGTATTAATCCTTAAATCACAATCTCACAATTAGTTTAACTCCGGATCAATTTTCAGTATCTTGATTAAAAAAAAAGTTTAAAAAATTTATCCTTCCTTTTTAATAAATCGATTTTAAGTATCTTGACCAAAAAAGTAAAAAAAAAAAAAAAAAGGTTATCCTTCTTTTTAAAAAATAAAAATAAAAAAAGAAGTGATTCGTTTGAATGAAGTGGAGGAACGTTCACGTCACTTTCATAATAATATGATCTAAGAATAAGGGAAATGGGATGACCATTTCCTCTTCAACTGCTACGCACCACACGAACATGTGGGATTCAACAGAAGTGTGGTCACATCTCAGAAATGATATAAAACTAAAATTGGTAAAAAATAAATAAATTTATAACCCACATTTAATTATTTGAAATTGTTTAAAATTATAATATTAAATATTTCTAAAATTCAAAAAAATCAACTTACGCAAAAAAATTATAGCTCATAAGCAAAATTATTATTATTTATTTGAACCTTCAAATTGGATCAATTTCAAAGGCCAATGGTTTAACCATGATTGAACCGTGGTCAATCCAATCATAATTAAATTAATATAATTTAATTAAAATTTGTAAAAATATTCATATATAATTCTAAATAATTAATCCACAAAAAGTGGAACATTTATGCATAAACAATGCATAATATAATAAAATAGAGTTATTAAAATACGTGTATCACAATTCACAAACTATTATTTCTTTAACTCAAAATAATATCACGTCATACTTAATAAGGGGAAATATATATATATATATACATAAAATTCAATCTTGTCGATTTGTTTAAAACTCTAAACCAAATTGATAAAAGATTAATTTATCGATCGGCTGATTGAGTTGAATTTTAATATCATGGTTAAGGGTTCAATTATAATAAATACAAAAATATCATAGAATGAGAAAATTGTTCTAAACCAGGCCCTCAAAACTCAAATTTGACTAATAGTTAGAGGTTAATATAACTTTTTAAAAATAGTTTATATTAAAAAAAAAGAAGAAACAAAGAAATAAAGGAGTTGGTTGGTTTGGTTTAGCACCTAACATTAGGGCAAGTGAGGGAAAGGACAACGTAAATTGGGACCAATTCTTACAGCTTTGCTCTTTGAGATGAGAATCCAACTCTTTCATGGCACGTGACTGGGCCCTGACTTGGAAAGCAAGATTTTGGTTACATTCATCTTCCTCTCTCTTTTTTTAGGGGTGTTTGGCATTAAGTAAAAATACTTAAAAAAAATATTTTCATATAAGTTGAAATAAAAAATTTTTTTATATACTTGCTTTACATATCATAAAATTACTTTTAAAATAATGGTTTGATTTCCATTCAAATACACTCTCTTCTTTACCTATGAGCCACTAGAGGTGGATATTATTAAAAAAAGTAAAAGAAATTATAGTAAACTCAACTTGAAAATTACAAAAGGGGAAAAAAAAAGTATTGAAAAGATGTTCTTAACTTGGAGAAAACAAAAGAATAGTAATGTTTTAAAGGACTTTATAAAAAAAATTTCATCGTTCTACTAAAATTCAACCCGGATGGCCGACGTACTAGTGAGCCGATAGACTAATTTCTTAGTATTTTATATTTTTCTTTTCTTTCCAAACCTGAAACAACGTTATTTTGAGTTAAAAAATAATTGTCATCTTTATGTTTTGGTAACTCTGTTTTGTTGAATTATGTCTGGTTTACATATAAATTTTATTTTTTCTTGTCAGACACTCTTATTAGAAGTAATTCTGTTTGATACATTATTAAATACTAAATATAAGTGCCTTTTCAAGTGAAGATTCAAATATTGGTTCATCACATTGTGAGAGATTAGCCTCTTCAACTAGATCCAATCCTGTTAGTTGATATAAATGTTTCAATTATTTGAAGATTAATTTTTTATTTAAATATTTACTCTTTCCAGGATTATGTGTGAATATCTTTCTATATTTCAATTAAATTATATAATTTGAATCATATGGGTCTGACCCCGATTCAATCGTAGAGAGGGATGATAATTGTTGAATCAAGTAAAAGAAATACAATGCCTTCTAATAACAACGTAGATTCAAACCTGATTAACACTGGTTACTTTAATTCTCTCCTCGTTGAATCCATTTAGTCAACTCAAACCCATTAAATGTTACTACAAAATTGTGAAAAAATTAATTTACAAATTTAAAATTTATTATTTATAATTATAATTTTCAAGTATAGTTTTTCCCTCTTTGGCACGTAATAAGGGAAAAATCTTCCCTGAGTCGTACGTCCTTTGTATATACATAGTAATAGAAACTTAGGATGATGGAGTCTGTGCTAATAAATATATATTCTTAATATATATATATATATATATCTCTCTCTCTCTTTCTCTATCTGTTGATCCACTGAATATTTATTTTTAAATAATTAATTTTCATGGGCTTGTCAAACGCCACCCAACAGTCCATGTGCTTCATATTTGCTGCCATTTCTTCTGCTCCTTTTTTGGGGAAGAAAGAGAATCTCTCTCTCTCTCTCATATTTCTCTCTTTCTTTCTCTTATCTATTGGGTGGTGGCTTGTTGTTTGCTCTAATCATTCAAGCTTCTTCTGGCATTCCATGTGCATCAATCACCAGCCCCCCACTTCCTTTTAATTCCCTCTCTTACTTACTCTTCTCCTTCTTTTATATATATATATATATATATATATAAACCCCTCCCTCTTCCTCTCTGACTCTCTGAGAAATTAAACCCCAAACACAGTTTCTTCTTGTAAAACCTCATAACAAGAAAATATGAGCGCCACAGGGAGCCCTGCTCCTCCTTGCAGCAGATCCTGGTAAGCCTACCTTCTTCTGTTCAAATTCCGCTTCCAATAATGAACTCGCCTTCATTTCTCTCTTTCTTCCCCTCAGCTTCTTCCTGCTCTTCATTTTCTTGTTACTAATTACTCTCTCTCTCTCTCTATTCTCTTGAACTTGTCTTGAACCAGTACTAGCTAGCTGGCTAGCGTTGGCTGTTTGAGTTTCACTTACTTTAAAAGATACATACATGAGAAGTTTCAAGTTCAACATCAAGAAATTATATGTTTGTGTGTGTGTGTGTGTGTGTTTGAGTGCGCATGGGTGATATATACTATATTTCTGCTGCTTAACTGTTAAACCTAGAATATGAGAAGATGAAGATGGTGATATGTTGAAAATGTTATATATGTGCGTGTGTGTGTTATGTTTTTATCCTTGTTGTTCATGTATGGATTATTGATGATCCAGTTCTCCCATATTCTTTTATGGGGGAATTATTGGGAATATTAATGAATTAATAATTTAATTTATGATGATGATGATGAAGGTCGATAAGTGAGGATTCGTTGAGGAGGTACGTGCATTTTGCCAGTGAGAGCTGCATACAAGAGCTGTTGTCGGCTTCGGCGTCGGATTCCGACAGAGGAGTTGGAGGCGGCGGCGACGGGTGGAAGGTTCAGGGCGTTGAGAACGGCGTAGAGATATCGAAGCGGCGGTCGGGGTCCCTTCATACCTTCCGCAGCCGGTGGCTCCTCCGATCTCTCTCACCTCAGCAATTCATCACGGTCGCTAACGCCATTGATGCTGCTAAGGTCAGTCCTTATATTGATTTCTCAACTCTCCATCTTTATTCTTTACCCACACACCTCACCTTTTACCTTAAATTTCCAGATGAGATGAGTAACCTCATACTACCTCCGGTCCTTAATATAAGACCCCGTTTGACTTTTTGTTTGGTCCTAATTATAAGACCCCAATCTATTTTGTCTCTCATATTTATACATTTTTTTCCAAGATAGTCCTTCTAATAATGATAGTTCTAGCCAATACACTTAATTAGCAAGGATATTTTAGGAATGACAACACTTATTTATTACAAATAACTAACTTAACTTACTTCCTTAATCTTTTCAAATTAGTTAACTGGGTCTTATAATTAGGACCGGAGGTAGTAAGCTATATCTTTTTTAAATATTTTTATACGGTCATAATGCTAAAACCTTGTTTTTAAATATCGCAGAGTCACCCTATTTAGATTTGCTTAATGATGAGATTAAGGGATTGAAAATACATATTATAAATTTAAAGAAATAAATTGAATCTTAATATAAATTTAGAAGACCAGAGTAAATTATACTCTAAACAAAATTAGGCATCATACATTATAACAACTTGATATGTCTTATATATTTTCTTTTGTCTTTAATATAAAACTTGGTTGATTAATTTGGAAAGATTAAGAAAGTTAAATAAATTACTTTAAGATATTATATTTATCATTTTTTTTTAAAATAATATGTCTAGTTTATAAATTAAACTGATATATAATATAATGATACATGTCACTATGTTAGCGAAATATGTAACATATATTATAACTAAGTACTTTTTAGTTTTCTTAATTTTTTTTAAATTAGTTAATTTGGTCTTATATTAAGGGTCGGATGTAGTAACAATTTTTAATTATTTTTTATTAAATATATTTTTATGTATTATATGAAATAGGGATAAAAGAATTTGTTGATATAATTTATTATAGATTTTACTATATATAGATTATTGTATTTGGTGGGTGTGTGTGTGTGTATCTTCTTATTTAAACAGGATATATATATATATATATATTAGCATATGCATCATAAAACTATGTTTAAAATTTGGTTGGGAAAAAAAAAGAGAACTAAAATGGTGTTCCTGTACAATTTCCCTACCAAGAAGTAACATATCATTTACAGAAATGGACAAACAAATCCAATTTTGCGTGCCACCACATATCAAACCTATATATTCTCATGAAGTATCAACTTATATTATGATTTATTATCATTATGTAAAGAATAAATAATTACTTTACCAAAAGTAAATATATTGCATAATATTTATAGATAAAAATTTTTAACTAGCTTCAAATTTCATGTAAAGTAGATGAGCCTGCAATTCCATCAGAAGAAACTATATTAACATTCAATATTCTGTACCACATGATAGAAGAAATAATATAAGGCCTCACAAGCATTCAACTGAAATTATCTACTAACCAAAAAAATTAATATAGTATTAATTTTAGAAATCAACATTGAAAATATTTTTTATAAAAAATTGAAAATATGATGGTGATGATGATAACACAAAAAAAAATTAATAATTTTGAATATTCAAAAGAAGCCGAATTGAGAGAAAAAGAAGTGAAAAAGAATAAATAGGAAACTCCAAAAGCGGAGTAGATTCCGAGCCAGCGAATTGAAAAGAAAGCTTTTGTCTGTGGCCATGTTAATGTCCATACGGTGCCGTTTCTTGTTATAAAGAGTTAAAATGCTTCTCGTCCCATTGTGATATAGAAAATATTATTTTTGTTAGGAAAATTAATATTTTTCTCCATATAACTTTGGTTTGATTATAATTCAGTCCTTTAATTTTGATGCAGAACAATTTTCTCTCTATAATTTTGATTTAATTGAAACTCCATCCCTAAATTTTATCTCATTACAATTCAATCCTCATGGTTTTAACAATTTAAAATTTTAACTCACAAACCTCATGAAATATATAATTTTATTTTCTAAAATATGATCATTAATGTTTTAAATGGTTATATTATATAATTAAGTTATATCAAATCAAAATTCAAAAAGTGAGTTACAATTGAATCAAAACTATAAAAATCAAATTATACCAAATTAAAATTTAAGAACTACGTCGTCTTCATAAACGTCATAGCAAGTCCAAATGTTTACTATGTTATTTTTACTAGAGGTGATGACTTTTTAGTTAAAAATGATATTATACTGCAATTTATTTATAAGAATGATATCATTTTTTTACAGCGTTTTTTTTTTAATAATCGACGTGGATTGGGGGCGTTAAAAGCATTCTTTTTTTAGTAGTGAGAGGACTAATTTTTCCTATCATTTTTCTCTTTTTTCTTTTTTTATAATTTTGAATGGCTTATTGAGATTGTGAAAAATTTGTGATTGAAAAATGCAGCAATGGGACTCAGATCTGGTGGAAGCAAGATACATAAAAGACTTGGAAGACAATCTAAGCATAATTCGTTTGAGATTTGGAGATAACTCAAAGCCTCTCTTTCGCAATAGAGAATTCATTGTTTATGAGCGTCGTGAAACCATGGAAGATGGCACCTTGGTTAGTTCTCTCTCTCTCTCTCTCTCTCTTTTTTCCTCACATTAATTTCCTCTTCATTCTCATTAATTTCTGTTTCAGAATAACTGTCACAAAAAAATTGAAAAACTCCAAAAAGATACCATTTGAATTCCAAAATACCAAAAAAAAAAAAACCACTTGAATTTTAAAATCCCAAATTAGTTTTGTTTCCTATACTTTAATAGTAATTAACTATACTTGAAAATCAAATGACAACATATTTTGTAGGAATTCTTGATTTGAGGTTTTGAAATTTAAGTGGTACTTTTTTAGAATTTTCTCAAAAAACTTATTTGTATATAGTATAATAAATATCTTTTTCATATTTTAATATGGTATTAAACACTTTGTTTTCTGTTTTGTACATTAATACATTCATTAGGGATCAATTAGTGATCAAATAAGATTTATTTGAAAAAAAACTTGGAACATTTTAGGAAATAGATATCTACCTTATCAATACATTCATTAGTCATCAATTAGTGAACATTAGTGATCACATGAGAAAATTTTGGCTAACAATTTTGAGTTTATCTTTTGGTTTGATAGGACTTAAGAGGAATATATATATGTATATGTAAACTTTACCAAAAAATTTACGTTGATTTAAAAATAAATATAAGTCCATATAATTTTAATAAAATAAATTTGATATTAATTAATGAAAAATAATTATATCCCATTAATCATTAAAGTTACATGTAAATATCCCTTTTAGCTTTTCCTAAACTTTCACCTTTCACTTTTCCCTTTTGTTTATTCTTTTTTACATGGGATGCCATTTCACAACCCTACTCGGACAGCCCATCTTTATCAATGAAACATAGGATCCGGTTGTTACTTGTTACCCAAGGTAGAATAAAATGAGGAAAAAATAAAACACAAAATTAATTTTATAAATATAAAATGTCCTGCTTATCTTTAAATAATACAATAAAAATGATAATGATAAATCAGTAGCTAACCACTCTAGTAACAACATCACTTGTCACATTTGCATGAGATAGACATTGCATATAGTGATTTCAATACAAAAATATTTCTTTCCTACCCCATTTATCCCTATAAATAAAGATAATGCTTTTAAAGAATAAATCTTTTGTTTCATTTCTGATTTTTGTCTTTAGTCTCACTACATTGGTTACTCCATGTTCCTATTTGCTCATTCTCTCACTTACCCTCTTTCATTAGGTTATTATTATTATTTTCCATATTTATTGCCTTTAATCGATTTCAACCAAATTATGTTATTTGTGCCTTATAAAAGAGAGGATTGAAATGAGAATTTGTTGTGGGGCATACCATTGGATCAAAGAGGACCCCAAGCTAAAAGCAAGAAGAAACTTTTGTGGGCAAATGACAATATATAAACCCTTGGCCCTAGGATTCACAAATGCTAAAATGATAAAAACTTATTAAAGTCTCTTTTAGTGTTCTTTGGACGGACGAAAATACCCTTGGATGATCACGTGTATACAACTTTCAGTTAATTCTCAACTTCTATCCACGTCTCATCTCACTGTTATAACTTGAAATAGCTTCATATGACTCAAATTGCAAATGTGTTAAAATTAGAATGAACATAATAAAATTAATTAGTTAGGATCAATTTTAAACATAATTTTATTGTGATTGAACCAATACATAAAATTTAAGATAATATTTTCTTGATGCCATTATTAGTGCAATTTTTTTTTAAAAAAAAGATGAATTGAAATGGGAATGAACTATTATAGGTAGTGGCAGTAGCATCACTACCAAAGGAGATAGCAGCAGGGTTGCATCCAAAGCAAAGCAATGCAATTAGAGGATTACTGTTGCAGTCAGGATGGGTTGTGGAGAAGCTTGAAGATGATTCTTGTGTTGTCACTTATGTTGTTCAGGTATCTCAATTTCATTGTTATTTCTTTTTCTATTAATGTTATGAAGGAAAAATTATTTTCTAAATCCTTATAGTTTTACCTTACTTTTAATCAAATCGTTACTAAAAAAATTATAAGAACCTGATTAAAGTTAGTGAAACCATAAGGATTGATAAAACAAATTGTAGGGATTTAATTAAACACAAGTGAAATGATAAGAATATGGTAAATAGGTGAAAAAAAAAACTATAGAGATGTTATTAAAAATCAGGTAATATTATAGTAACTTACATGTGGATTTTTTTGTATTAAAATGGGTTAAACTTTGGTAGACTGGTTCAGTTAACCACAAAAAGAAGGTTGGATTTTTTTTTTTTGTTGGGGGAGAACCCGAATATGGTGGATCATGGACTGGGTTGACCCATTGCCAAACGTACCTATTCCCAATTATATGCATGTGACGAATCATATTTTAAATTCCTGTTATGAGAAGTGTCCATAAATATTGTCTTATATTAGCTCAAACAGGACTACATTTAATAGGAAAATAGCTATGTGTTGCAAAAGAAAATTAATAAATAATATGAAAAATATTTTTTAAAATTAGATCATAGTTTTTTTTTGGTTGAAAAATTGGATCAATATTTGGATCAACTTCATTTTTCACTAATTTTTTTTCCAAATTTGGTTTGTGTTGTTTCAGTTGGATCCAGCAGGATGGCTGCCCAAGTGCTTTGTGAATCGACTCAACACAAAACTGGTTATGATCATTGAAAACCTTAGGAAATTAGCCCAAGCTTCTCCAACTCATCATGCCCAAATATGATAAATATTTCTTTGTATAAAGTTAAATCAATATCAATATTAATATAAATATAAAAATTATAAGATGTTTGTACTATCCATAGGTTATGAATAGTGCATTTTCTTTCAAATTCTGCACAACTTTTTTTTTAAAAAAAAAAATTCTCCCCCAACTTCCTCCACAGTTTTTTCACACCATTATTTTAAGTAGAGCACTTTATTTCCAAGAAAGTTTCAGGTTATTATCCCTCATACATTCTCCGATGAGAATAGATATATATATATATATATATATATAAGGAAAAATATCTTCTTGTGAGAAAAAAAAAGGAAATGCAAAATTTCGAAGGAGATTATTCCATGGGAGTTTTTGGAGCGTACCTGAAAGCATTAGTAACCTTATATGCCCTCGTACAATTCGATCACAGAGGAGTCGGAATTTTGCTTATACAGCAAATGCACCGAGAAAAGAAGAAGAGAATTTGTAGTAAAGACATAAAAGGGGTAATTTATACCATTGACCCTAAGCTTTTATTTAATTATAATCAGACCCCAAATTTTATGGGCCTGGCTGATCCGCCAAAGGTGGATGAGGTATGATCCAACATTCCAATTATTAATTATTCTTTTTATTTAATAAGCCTTTTCTATTTTCTCTTTACTTAAAAAGAGAAGAAACAAGAGCTATGCGTAACTAAATTTATAACGTACCAAACCATAATCTCAGACTCATAGCTCCATCTTCCATGATTCACCCATGCTTTAGTGAAACGACCTAGTGGACCATTTTCTTTCTATAATTAGATTTGAGGATTTGCCTTGCAAATTTTATAGTCATTGTGACTATAATTTAATGTAATACCATATGGTACCAAAGACTAAAGAGCCATATATATAGTCTAGCAAAACTGTAGTATGCATCATTCGGTGTTCCACAATTCTATTTGAGACTTAGTATCAAGTTCCAAATTGATATTTTGGATTCCAATTCTCATTATCATAACAAACCATTTCAAATCATGATCATCATGCAAAGAAGGGGTGTTTGGATAACCCCATAATCACTTTTTAGAAATATATTTACTTCATATACCTTAAAAGCACTTTTGAAATTATAGTTTTGTTCTTATCCAAATATCCCCTAAGAGAAATTGTGGGTAAAAACCCAATTACCTCAACACTCCAAAAACGCTGATGTTAAGTTACCTGTTATATTTGGATGAGGTCTTAGGTTTAAGCCCAGCATTGACAGATTTGTGTTTGTATATGTATCTAAATTATATAAAGAAACCAATGAGAGTTGGGTTTATTGGAGTGAGCTAGTTTCTTATAATATGACAAACTAATATTCAAATTTCTATTGAGAAAAGTGCCCACACTTAGTGTATGACAGTGTCTCAGACCTTCAATAAGAGAATACTTATGCATAACAATAAAATTATGTGAAATAAAAGAAATAAGAGAACCAAAAGAAAAACTTTTAGAGTGCCACCGCCCAAAAATGGGAAATACCATAGAAAAGTCAACTAAGGATCAAGTACCAATTAAGAAACCGATGAGAGTTGAGTCCAGTAGAAAGGACTAGTCCTTCATAATGTGATGAATTAAAGTTTGAATCCCCACTAAAAGAGTTACCCGATAGTATCTTGAATATGATTGTTTTCAATAGAAGGATATCTATGAGTAGTAAAAAAAAAAAAAAACCAACTATGGATCAAATACCAAATCAATGAGTCTAGAGCAATTTCACCAATTACTCCGAAAGAAACGTATTTTAGAAGTAAGAACCTTGGGTAAATTATGATAACTCAAATTAAATTTATATAAGGTGAGATTTCAAAAATCAATTCCATCTCATCTAAAGTTTTAAATGATAAGAGTTTATTTGGATTAGCATTGGCAAAAGTTACTTTTATTCTAAATGACTTTTGCAGTTTAATGAATTTTGTGTGTGGATAAACTTTTGTTAAAAAACCTACTTGACAAACTAAAATTAAAAAAAAAAAAACATAAAATGATTACGTTTACGAATCGTATCACCCCATACTTTTCCTCTTTGGACCCAATCTTAACCTATTAAATCCCCAAGCTAGCCTTGTAGATTAACCTCATAGCAGAACTATTCTAACTTCTAACCGTCAAGATGCGCCATATTTCCAATAGTAGTTAATCACTCATAATTAATACTACTATATCTCAAGGCCATAAAACAATTCTTAATGAATGTAGGATATTGCAGACCGCATCATGAATGAATTTGGATAATTTCTTTAGAACTGATAGAATAGATCATGCAAAAAAATATTTATTATTTTTGTTGAAGTATCTCTATTGATTGTCCACATAGATAGACGTAACTAATTGGGATAGTTTTTATATATGATTATGTTAGGAAAACCAACATGCATTATGTAAATTAGTTTACCCAACTCCTACATTTAAGATGGGAAAAAACATAAAACTTGACCTCTAAGAATTGACACAAATATTTATGAGTAAAGTAACATCCAACACTCTGATATTATTCTTCAAGTGCATTCAGTAGCACAATATTATTTTTCTAGTCCATTTAACACCATGATGTTATTTTCTGGTGTAGTCAAAACCCTACTTGTTTATGATGTAGGTTGTTAGATGTGCTATAAATAAGATTAGGGTATAAGATGCATAAAAAATAACATCAAGGTATTGGATACACTTGAAAAATAAGATAAGAGTGTTAGATTCTACTTTACCTAAAATTTAATCCTCGTTACCAAAAATTAGCCTCCAAGCGTGTGTAGTAGCCATAAGGAGAGCTTGTCCTGTCTATGAAAAAAATTCCAACCTTCATATGCCTTCTTGAGATTTAGCCAAGCACAAATCATCCCATCATCTCAAAAGATGCAACATTCTAATTTTTTTTCCCAAATTACCATTAAAGGCCCAAAAGAAAGTAGCCATTAGAATTTCCAGCTCATGATATTAACCATTTAGGCATTAAGAAAAGGGACATTGGATAAACCACCGAAAGAGCTAAAGCGCAAACTTTAAATATGGGCATGTAATTAAGTCTACCCTCCTAGGATAATGACATGGCTTCTGCTTCTAATTTTTTATCAGTCTCCCCTTAATCAGTCTTGAGGCAAATTTGGCCACAAATATGCATCCATGGAACGCTTTAAGTTTCATTAATTAAATATGTTAAAAATATTATTGAACCTCTAAAAACATATCTTAATTATATGAAATTTTACGCGTATACCTTTTTTTCCCCACAATCCATAATCCATGAACTTATTATGACCTCTATATAGGATTTGAACTCACAATTTCATGCTTAAGAAAATCTTATCTAAACCAATTGCATTGTTTATGATTTATGTATCTATTTATTTAACATTTTTGGTTCAAACATTCATGTTACCACGTTGATTATCATCTTGATTAGTGTCCTCTAATGATAAATTCCGCAAAACTGTAAAAGCTACCACCCTTTATTAATCTCCAAGTTGTCGCCCTTGGTTCCTAATTAAGCCATTTCACTGATTTTCTAAGTTCCCTTGTGAACTACTTCATTTCTAGCATCTCACATTGTAAATTAAAAATTATAATCAGAACATTCATTCTCTAAAACATCGTTCAATCTTTCACAATTATTCTCGCAAATCATTCTGTCAGGTTTTATCATCCCTGCTTATTATTATAAGGTGTCATTCAGAAAAGTTTCTTGATTTAAAACATAAAATGTCCATGTTTCTTCTTCCAAAAGAAACTCTGTCACCCATCGTACTGTGGGTTTAGTGGTCAAAGGGTCAGACACTCTCACCAAATGAAATGATTTGATTTCTGAGATCGTCGCAGTATTTAAAAAGGCATATTCAAAGCCAAGACCTCAACTCGTAACATGTGATGACTCATGTGGAGCTTCTCCCATCCCAGTTTAAGTTATGGTCCTAAAATTTGTACCACCAAGGGGGAAAAAAAGGAACTCTCTTGCCGAAATACTTGGACACTTGGGCGGATAAGAGAAGAAATAAGTGTCTCCTGTATCAAGGCCTCATCATTATTGTGAGGCATCGAATTTCCTCATGGAAAGGCAGATTGTTATCTCACGTTTCGAGACTCACTCTCATCACATTTGTCTTATTTTCAGCCAATATTTATCAACTTTAACGTTTCAAGCTCCCTCAAAAGTATCGCAACCTTGTTGATTCTGCCTACCTTTATTTCTTTTAGGTTACGTTTGGTAGGGAGCATTGAAAATGAGGGATTGAGATTGAGATTACAATTGAAAAAATCTATTAAGAGAGTGTTTAGTATAAGAAATTGTTTGATATATGGGATTAGCCAAAGTCATGTATGTGGGATTGGAGAATACCATGGGGGGAAGTGGTATTCTCCAATCCCACCTTTATGAGTTTGTCTAATCCCATATAACAAACAATTACTCATGCTAAGTATTATTTTAATGATTTTTTTCAATTGCAATCCCAATCCCAATCCCTCATTTTCAATGCTTCATACCAAACGGGACCTTAGGGTTTTTCAGGTGATCAAAAGAAAATTCACCTCTCAAACGGGAATGACTTTTTTACCCCAGTGAGGGAAGAGATATTAGGGCAAATTAATTTCTCTCTTTTGGCACAGCAAGTTTGAAGGATTGTGAGTGCATAAGAACATTCTGTTCTTGGTGCTACTATGAAGATCAAGTTCATAGATATGGATTCAAATTCCATCATTAATATTTTAATAAGGCAGATTGTTCTTAAACAATTAAGATAGTCATTAAATTTGTTCTAAGACGGTAGAATTTTCCTATTTTACTTATAAAAATAATAAAATTGTCTTTAATATTATATTTTTATTATCTTTTATTTTCTCATATATTTATTAGAGGGGAAAGTGAGAAAATTATATTAATGATTTTGCCTAAAATTTCTTCACCTAAACAAAAAGTCACAAAGCCAGAGGCGGATAGCAGTTCGTTGATTCCACGGGGGAAGAGAGTGTGTGATTGCCTCGAGTACTTCAAACCTCAAACTTCAAACTTGAAAGTTCTCGTCTCGCACATC